CCCCCCCCCGCATTGCCATCTAAAATCTCTTCCCCCTAATCCCTATAGAAGGCCTGATAGTCAGGCTATTTTAGGGACCACCGTTTGTTTTATTTTAAATGTAAGGACCTAGAAAAAGAAAAAAAGAAAAATATGAGCCAGGCAAAACATTCTTATCAGCTTGAAAGGTATTGCAAATCCATTTTTTCGCTTTATGAAATTAGATTATAAATTATGATGAAACAAAAGTACAGCATGTTATAGATAGTGTCTATGGTACAATGATGGTCCTATTTCTACTCTCTGAATGTAATTACTATTTATGATATTATTCATGTGGTGAAGTATAAATTTAAATAATTGTACAACCCCTTACTAAGAAAATGGATTATCCTCGGCTAAGTAGAAAGCGATCCAGTTAAGACTTGGTTTAACGTTTCAGCCATCTGAGCCTTTGTCTGCGGTGTTAAAATAGCACACATCTTTTTGCCAGTTCGTGAATTTTTCAGTGACCACATGTCTGCTCACTTTGTCAATTATTTCACATGGTGTTCATTACGTGTAGTTTCACAGAGGGAGCTGATAAGTCGTTGATAGTAATCACTGAAGATTGTTCAAGTTTTTGTAGGATCATCAGCACGAGAAACAGTTCCATAAACTTTGTAGACAGCCATGTCATACTTTCGTCTGCATCGTTTCATTTCCTCGTTTTGCTGGCGAAAATATTCCAACAGTTCATCTGTGATTCTAGTTCCCTTAGCCTGGCCATTCTTTTCCTCCGGAAGATCCTGGCAATGTTTTATGCTCGTTGGTTTTTTACTGTCGAATGTCTTAGAATTTGACTTTTCTTGTTGATCAGTATTACACGAACTCATAACGCACTGTTTTCAGTAGAAAGAACTGAGAAAAATGAATAGCTAGACTGAAAAGCAGCGAATCAGAATTTTGACCTTTCCAGGATTTCGAAATCTTCGGCTTTTTTAACACCCTCCCAATTGAGATGACTGACGTCGGTTTAAAGCGCGTCACTTCCGTTCATTTTCTCTGTCTATGTACGCTCTTTTTTTTAACTAGAAAAAGATAACATTTGCATTAGTTACCGCTTGAAAATAACCTTGAGGAAAAATCATGGCAAGACTACGGTTTGCAGGCTAACAACAGTAACACAGAAACAAATGAAAGCTTTTACTGTCTAAGATTAAAAATCCGAGAGTGATAGATAGATAGATAGATGCCTGAGCTCGCCCCTCCCCACATTGCCCTCTAAAATCTCCTCACACCTAAACCCTATGGAAGGCCTGTGGCCAAGTAACATGGAGTGTGTCCTTTTGACGTCACAAACAGAAGTACCCGTCCCTTACAGGAATAGCCTGAGTTCACCATTCCCCTTATTGCCCTCCAAAATTTCCTCACACCTAAACCCTATGGAAGGCCTGTGGCCAAGTGATATCGGTCATGTCCTGATGACGTCACAAACAGAAGTACCGGTCCCTTTTAAGGATAACCTGAGTTCACCCCTTCCCCCATTGCCCTCTCACCCCTAACCCCTATGGACGGCTAGATACTCAGTCTATTTTAGGGATCACTGTTTGTTTATTTTAAATGTAAGAGCCTGGAAAAGGAAATACATACATACATACATACATACATACATACTTTATTGACTTTCCCAAGGGGCTTTTCAAAGACAATACATGATCCTATTTACAATTAAGAAATGTTTTAAAATATATATAAAATTACAATTCTTTAAGTAATTTAGTACGTAAACGAGTTTTAAAAACATCAATCGAGTTACACAGTTTAAAGGAATTGTCTAGGGAGTTCCATAAGTTCACAGTTCTATAGAAAAATGTTCTCTGACCGGCAGCTGTTCTAAAAAAGGGAATTTGTAAAAGCTGTGAATTTCTGGTGCTACGTCGGCTAACCTCTGCTCGCTTTATGAATTTTGATGTAAGGTATTCAGGGGCTTGACCGGTCATACATTTAAAAGCCATTGTAGCGTTCCGGTAATAAAGCTGACTGGGAACTGAAAGCCAATTTAGCTCCTTGCGAATTGGTGTAACATGGTCAAATTTACGCGCGCCGCTAACAATGCGGCATGCGAAGTTCTGCACTGCCTGTAACTTGTTGACATTACATTTTGAGGTATTTGACCAAACATTGGAGCAATAAAATAACCTGCTAAAAACTAAGGAATTAATAATCATCAAAAGTGTACGTTTGTCGAAGACATGCTTGACACGGTTTATCTGGCCAAGGCGGGACATGCACGAGGAAGCGGTTTTAATTATATGTTCATCGTAAGTTAAATTAGAATCCAAAGTCACACCAAGGTCTTTGGCGGTGTCTGTAGGGACAATGTCCTTACCCATAAAGGAAAGGTAACGAAATTGGAATT